TAAATGATAGCACATCCCAGTTCACGCACGTCATGCAACTTCTTCCAACATTGTTACGTTCCAACCATTCATTCAACGCCAGAAGAACCTTCTTCATGCCGCTTTTTCATCGCCGACCAACTCCAAACTCTGCTATCAAGTTGCTGCTCCATTCCAGACCTGTTTCATATCCGCCTTCAACTTTCGGAGTAGGTCTTCTTCGTCTCCAACTTCCATCACTCATGCGTTCGTTCCACCATTCCCTGCAAGATGACGTTGTCACTTACGGGACGATGGAGGGAGATGGGCGGTGTTTGGAGGTGTGCGGGCCTCTGGCCCACCTTTTCGACTCACTTCTGTGTGATCTGCCAGCATCAGTAGCATGCCATTTTCCTATTTTATTTGGAGCAGACCTGTGTAGCATTATGCCTACGACAACCCCTCCGGTTGACCACTGCACCAACGTCGACAACCCCCCTATGCAGTTATCACCAACCCACACTTTCACCAACCAGGACCACGGTTGGAACCGCTACGACGACTTTTCATTTTTGGATTGAGACCACACAAGTTCAGCATCTGCAGACGAGACCATCACAACAACCGACAACAGCATCCATCGACGAGCTACAGGAAACAGCGCAACATCTACGGCAAGGAATAAGCGATGTGACTTACCCAGGTTGGAGCACAACCTCACTGGTCCGACCGCTACCGCTGCCCTGACCCGTGACTGTATAAGTCACGGGTGCCTGCCCTGCAACGATAGCTTGCGAGGATTCTCGAGTTGTCACTGTATTCATCGCAAACGCGAACCTGCAGGCACGCGGCACACGGCACAAGGGTCAGGTCTCACAGAGGTCGAGTTCTTCTCCTCACCTTGCTTTTGGTGAAGCAATCCCACCCGCCCTTGATTTTTCCGCGGTGTGCGGACCTCTGGCCCACCTTTTCGACTCACTTCTGTGTGATCTACCAACATCAGTAGCACGCCATTTTCCTATTTTATCTGGAGCAGACCTGTGTAGTATTGTTCCTTTACGTCTTTTCGGTTCTCCTCCTCTTTTTATTTTTTATTTTTTATTATTAAAAAAATATATTCTTCGCTCAATTTCACCTCACACTACCTACCTACCACTAGTTTTTTTTTTTTTTTTTAAAGGAAAGGCCCTTGCGATATCCCTCTATCCTGGCGGTGGTAAGAGAACCGTCAGAATTGAGGGCTTACCTGTTGGGCTGCTCCATCTATTGGTGGGAAGCGACACCTGCTGGAAACCGGGTCCAGCGTCCCATTGATACATCGTTTCGTACATATATTTGGTTTTTATTTTTTCTCGGGGCTGTGATTATTGTTGACTTATCCTGGGGCTCCGTTGTCCCATGGAGCTGCAAGACTTACCCTTCCCTTTTTGGGGAGCACCCCTTATCTATTGACCCAACCCTTATTTGTGCAGCCCCCTTATTTGACTGATTCTGTCTCTGTGTATGTCGAACCTTTATGTTTTGTTTCCCCAGATTGTTTGTCTGAGCATTGCTTTTCCCAATGTATTTGTAGTGGTGGCAGAAGGAGGTGTCTTTAACGAGCCTTGACAGGTGGCACTACCCAGCCATATGAGCTGCTTGCATACCTTGCAGCCTACATCTATCTTAATCCTTAGCATCCCATGCATTGCCCTTTGACTTCATGACTCTGATGTTGTTGGCTGCGTCTATGTTTGCTCTCTGTATCTGCTTGTCTATCTGCCTGCCTACATCTATCTTGTCATTCAACATAGTGTACAATTGGTTTTTTTCTTTATATCTCTTCTACGTCTATCTCAGCATTCAACATAACGTACATTTGTCTTTTATCTTCATATCACTGCTGATTGTTGGCAGTCTACCTGATGGTTCACTGTCGGTGATAGTATGGTCTGGTCCCATATATGCTGTCAAGATTGGTTGAACCGGATCATGATTGTCACATAGTGTTCTGTTTTTCTTACATTCGCCCCGCATGTCTCCGTTGTCTCATTCTTTGCTATCAATTCTATCACCATGTTCCCGCTCCCTGTATGTAGGTCAGCTCACTCTGCCCGTTGGCCAATCCTCACCCGTGGACTTTAGTGCCTAAGGGTATCGTTTCTATCGTTCATGTGGTTTGCATTGTGTCAGGGCAACATTTCAGCGTGTCTGTGCATTGTAGTGCTTGAGGTCATGTAACTTCTCGAAGGTCTTGTTTTCTTTCCCATCGTCTTCCAGCCATTTCCTTTCTTTTAGCAGATCTGTCTGGTCCTTGTCCCTGATTTCCGTTGTTCGATGGGTGTCTTGGAGCGGTCTGTTCCTCCTTCCTTCCCTCCAGCTTTGTCCTTTTGCCCTCTGTCTTGTTCCTTGGTCTTGGAGATACTGCCGGCGATGTCGCCTGCCCAGGTTTTGTGAGTGTCTGTTATCTGGACTTGAGCAGTGTGACCTTCAGTTTTCCAGAGTCAAAATTCGGAGAACGGGGTGCGGGGGGGGTTAGTGGGGGTGGGTTTTGTGGTAGAG